CTGGCTGATGCTCTAAAGACTGAACTATGTAAAGATCCCAGCGTGGAGTCGAAGGCCCCTCCGAGCCCCGATAACCTCAGCCTCTCGCCCAAGCTCCAGGAAAGCAGTGTTGGACAGCTTCATATCATGGACTACAATGAAACCCATCATGACCACAGTTAAAGAGGAAGATAGTCAATCAGTGTTATTTTCATATTCTTGGCATAGAACAGGAGGCGTGAGTGCAAGTTTAACTAAAAGCTTTTATGTTTCTTTGGTCTGAGCAGTGGCTCATGCAGCGGAGCAGGATCGATGGCCAGGAACGGAAGGAGGCTGCTGAACGAATGCAAAGTGGATTTTTGGGTCTGGAATTGAAATGCCCAGCCTAACTCTTGCTTCTTTCTCCAATTCAGTCCTTAGCAGTGTGTACTAATTTGAAGGGACAACTGGTAGCATTTGCAAGTATTTTTGCCCTTTCTCCCTGTCCCCGGTTGAGTGGCTGCGTTGATGAACTTGAGTGCAATATGAGGCCAAATTAACATTTGTGAGTCTACTCTGAATGCTTTGTATTTCCTTGCAAGCTTCCAATTTAGAGCAGTTGGTTGTGCTGCCTGTCCAGGTGACTTCGGTTCCTTTCATCCTGGAAAGAAGCAGCACTAGAATTTCCAGTGCATTCATCTAAGGGTCTCTGTTTTGCCTGTCCATTGTCCCACATCCCTCAGTCTTCATTAAGTTGGAGTCTGATTGAATACCAAAATGTTTAAAAATACTGTACCTCTGCAAAATGATTCACTCTCCCTCATTCATGATCATTGTTTATATTGTCCTTAACATTTCCTGGGAAGTTACATTTGAACAGACAAAAAGGAACTGGAGCTTGTAATGCAGAAGAGACCGTAAATGCTGAAGACTTGTTAAAACACTAGCTTCTGATCTTCTTGGTATTTTAAGTGTTTGCCTGACAGACTGTTACTGACCTCAGACTGGTTCCTATGGGAAAGCAATTGGGGTGGGAGAAGAGGGAGAAGGAAGCTTTACTCAAGTAGGGTGAGCATGCAGAACCTGGATGTAGAATTGCAAGCTTATGAAGATCTGCAGAGGAGGATTTGTTTTCTCTAATCAGGGAAATGTGCTGCCAGACCCTCCTTCACAGTTCTGCTCTTTGTTCCTGGTCTGAGCGAGACCACCGTGGTTTGAGTCCAAGCAATTGGCTTCATTCTTCCTGGGAATACGTTCAGAATATGGTTTCCTCGGAGTGCTCTTCTGCTCAGGCTGCAGCACATTTTTGAGCTCAGCAATGTCAGTTTGGCTCTAGGTCTCTCCCCTTCACCCTCATCCTGCTTCCTTAGAAGGCAAGGCTGAGGAGGAATCCTGCTCAAACCGGGAATCGGAATCCTGGCGGAAGCCTTTCCGTGTTAATCAAGTCAATGATGAGCCTTCTGTGAAGGAGGATTTTGGGATCAGGGCTTGTCAGTGGTCAGACTCAGTCTCCTTTGTGACAGAGCAGAGGCTGCTGTTAGGAAGGCAGAGTGCTTGTTGTAAATGTTGGATGTGTGTGGGGCCGGCTGTGCTCGGACACGTCGGGCTCCACCGTTACCCTCACACGTGGCCTCTCCTCTGAAACTGTCTGTGGGTGGCAGCTGCTGTTCAAGAATCGCCTCACATAGAAATCAAGTCCAAGAACACTTGCATTTGTAGTTCAAATCCCTTCTTAACCTTGATAGGAACGAGGCTGTCAAAGCAGCTGGCGCTGTGCTGGCTCGCTCCTGACAGGACTTCCCCCCCCTCCATTTTCCGCTTCTTCCGTAACACCCAGGGTCTAAATACATTTCTGCCCATCTTAAATTATTTTCCGTGTCCTTTGGGTTGGTCAGTTGGAGCCCTGAGAGTAGAGGTTGAACTTCAGTGGTTGTGTCCAAGCTTGACTCTGCATGGAATAGAGAGTAGAGAGTTGGTTGTAAGTGCCAGACTGGTTTTGTCGACATGTCTTTAGGCTTTCTCAGACTTAGCGGTAGCAAACGTGGTAGCGTGTGTTTCGGGAAGATTTGGAGGTTTCCTGCCCCTTTTCCCCACCAGATCCCAGCCCCAGGGAGGGAACGGTTTGCACATTGCCCTGGTGGGCTGGGATGCTGGACAAGCTCATTCCCCATCCTGCCCTGCCCAGCCCGGGGGTGTATCCGGCGTTCTGAGGAGAGGTGGGTTTTGTGTCGGTTCCAGAAACGCCCTGGCAGTGATTCAAGCTCATTGAGAAGGTGGCTTTATTCTTCTTTTAAACAGGATTTTAGCACCAGGATAGTAATGGAAACCACTTTCGGTTTGTTTATGGACCACAAAAGATTATGGAGGAACAAAAATTTTTTGCAATTATTTCTTTTTTTTTGTCTTTTTTCTTTTTTTTTTTTTGGTAAGTCTAAAAATCGTGGATCTGCTGTATGTAGTTAACTTGCAGTTTGTTTGAAGGGGTCCCATCAGTGAAGTGGAAACAGATTTTTTTAACTGACTGCTTTTAGTTAAATCTAAAATTGCTGTCTTTGTCAAGTTAATCTGTTCCCTGCCTCGCTCTTTGTAAGCATGTTAAACAATCCACATTAAATGCCATAAATATGAAAAACGAGGAAATGGTACAATCGTAAGCTAAAGAGAACTTAAACCAAAAGGAGGTTTTTGCTGTCCTTATTAGAATGTTCTAAAATGTCAAGGCAGTTGCTTGTGTTTAACTGTGAACAAATAAAATGTATTGTTTTGCACTACTCTGTGTTAAATTCCCTGCAAGCCGACCTTCCTGGGACCAAAACATGGAGTTTGGTGTCCAAACATCTTCCCAGTTGTGACAGTCCAGAGCAGGTCAGTGCTGCTGCTCCTCTGCACAGGATTCATCATTAGGAGCTCATTTTTCTGCGTGGAGCCAAAGCCTTTTTAATTCTGTGGCAAACAAACTCACCAACAACGTGCCAGTCTAATCCGTAAATTAACTGCAGGCAGTTCGGTGCTGCAGATCTGCCTGGGAGCTTTCTGCTGTCCTGCAGGCCAGAGATGCACAGTGATTAGAGAAATTAATAGCTGGAAATGTCAAAGCCTTGTTTGCAAAGCTGGGGCTGTTGGAAGCTGGCTCTGTCCGTAGCTGTGCGAGGACACTTCCTCAGACCAAGGAGAATTTTGGGACCATTTTGCTGGTAGGTTAAGGTGGTTTTCTTGTTTTGTTTTCTTTTTTTTCTCACTGGTTTGGTTTTTTCTTTTTATGTGTGGGTTGTTTGTTGGTGTTTTTTCTTTAAATAAATATTTAAAAGGTTGCTCAAAACAATTTAGAAATCCATACCTGGACCTCAGCATTCCAGTTAAGGACTGAGGATAATTCTTAAATATGTGGACACACTTTAGTAACTGCATATGGAGAATTTTATATAGAAGTTATCATAACCGTTAAGTTGAAGTTAAATGATACAGAGGGTTATTTTATGCCCCCAGCACTGGAACGAGCTCTGCAGCGTGGGGTAAGTGAAATAAAAAAGCACACAGTGAATTTTACTTGCACTTACCTTACTTTAAGTCCTCTTTGTGTATCACTTAGTAGGCCTGGCATTGCAAAGCTGCATTTGCCAGTGTAAAAATAAAAAATAAAATTACCCACAGGAGCATATTCAGTAGGGTACAAAAAGAGAAGAATAAAGTACCTTCCTCACTAATGCCAAGCAGTACCTTTAGTAGTTTATAGCATAGCTAATAAAACACACAGGAGCCATTAGGGAAGGAAATACTTCCCATTCAGGAAGTTCAATTATCTTTGCTGATTGATCCTGATTTATTAGAACCACTTTAGCTGCCGGCACAATGGTGGATTTTAAAAGTGCTTATGAAGTAGATTGTGAAATCACAGGAGCTGAGTTACTTTGTTCTTGCACAGGAGCTTTGCAAATGAAGCTGAGGGAGCGTTCACATGGGCTTTTCTTTTCAGACAAGACTTTATTCTGAACAATGTTTGACTGATGGTTGTTGTGATTTTGGTGTCTCTGAGCTTTACTTGGCTAAACCGTTTTTTTTCCTAAAGGCTCCAAGCGCTCCCTCCAGTTTCGGCCTCTGCTCTTTGCCGTCTGTCAGACGCTATTCCTGCTTTGTCCGGAGCCGCCTGTGCTTGGTGCTCAGCTGACCGAGCTGGTGCTGCCCCGAGGGAATTCAGAGCTCCCAGGTAAACAGCTCTCCTGCCTGCGGGGTGTTTATGACGTGTGGAGCTGACGGAGCAGGGTGCTGGTGACAGGGAACAGCCGATGGCTCTTCTGAAATTACAGCTCCCTGTGACGGGAGCAGCGGCCCTACAGTGCCCATCCCGGGAATGCTCATCCGAGGGCTGCATACCTGCCACCAGTGTTCAGAAGCCCCCGTGGGTTCAGGATTGGGGAGGCAGAATTGTTGGAACTGTTTAAAGATGGGACAGTGATGTGAGGCGGCCGCTAGAGGCCCTGCCAAGCCCATCCTGCATCGGCTCTCCAGTGACATCCTTGGGATGCTGTTTCCTCTCTCCCTTGCATCGCCCCTTCTCCTTCCCTCCAGAGCCCACCACCATTCCCAACACTTGGTCCGAGCTGTACCCCATCCTCTCAACGTGTGAGACGCTGGAACCAGATATTTAACTCAGAATGTTTTGCCACGGAATGGTTTGGGCTGGAAGGGACCTTTAAGGGCCATCTAGTCCAGCCCCCCTGCAGGGATCAGGGACACCTCCCACTAGACCAGGTTGTTCAGGTAGATGCAAGCCTGGTTTGACCCCTATCTGAATCAAGGGGAGCACAGAGGTACTTCATAGCCTCCAGATGCCAGGGTTCTATTGAGATCATCTATTACCAGCCCATATCTCTATTTCAGTCTTGGAACAAAAAAAGTGGAATTTATTTTCTGGACTAACTGACAGATCTGTAGGAAAGTCAGTCTGGTGCCCTGCCTGGTTTCTCAGTGTGTATCTAGCAATTTTATGCTCACAGAGGCTAAAGTAAAACTTTATTGCACTTTTGTGTTTGGCATTTACATCCTGTTTATGTAAATTCTTCAAACAGCTTGATTTGTAGTAGAGAAAAACAATTCTTGCTGTATCTTTTTGTCTTTTGAAGTGTCCATCCAGTCTGGAAGAGGAGAACTTGTATGGAAATTAAGTAATTTGTCTAGATGTTTTTGTGAGACTTAACTTTGCAGTCTTCCAACAGATTCTGGTCTTGTCATTATCAAACCTCAGACTGCAAGTTTTATGCACTCATTTTTCTGCTTGGGTCTTAAAATTTTGGCTGCGTGACACTGACTGAAAGGATAAGGCCAGGCTAGAAATTATTATTAAGATTTGGGAGCTGTTTCTTGTGTGTATCACCTTATTATGTGTGTATGAATCTTATTATTAAGATTTGGGAGCTGTTTCTTGTGTGTTTCACTTTGGTCAAGTGCAAAATAACAACTGCACTGGGGTTTGAGCAGCACTGGTGGGCTGGGTTTGGTGGGACTTCTCTGCCCTGCCATTTGTGCTGTGCTCATCCATGGAAGCTCAAAGTGACCTACAAACTGGAGGATAATTTTGGTCTCATCAGAGCCTGGGTGTTCAAATTTAAACTACAGGACAGGGCCAGGAAGGTTGGAAACAAGATCTGGCAGCAACATCTCTCGTGTCCCTGACACTTGTCAGCGTTCAGTCCACGTAGCCTGGGCTTGTTCTGAAAAACTTTCCAAGGCAGCAACTGTCACTGGACACTTGTCTGCAACATGAAACACAACAGGGCAGCTGCCAGCAACTGGGATTTTTCAGCCTGAAGCTGCCTCAGCACCAGGGCTCTCAAGTGCAGCCGGAGAGGGTGACGGTGACCCTTCGATACCATTTGGAGCTCACCAAGGGTCAGTTCACTTGGATCGTGTCTCCCTAAAAATAGGCTTCTACTCCAGAGGGGATGGGTGCACTGTAGTACCAGTGGATAGGGATAGGAAGAAAGTGCAAAAGAAAGTGGGATTATGTGAGGAATAAAAATGCTGCTCTCATTCCTCCCTACGCTCCCTCCTCTGTGTTAATTCTCCCTTCTCTTTTAGCTGCTTGTTGCCAGAGACTGGTCATCTTAAGGTAGAAGCTTTCTCATAATTTTAGCAAACTGAGCCAGGTATGCAAAGGGAAATTGTTTATTCAGGAGTGTCTTCCAGCAGGAAGCAAAGAGCAGGAGGTAATTTGCCTGCAGGAGGGGAAAAGAGCAGTGAGATACACTGAGATCTTCAGTTTGTAGTTAAAGGAGCTTGATTAAAAGCACCTTAAAAACCTCTCTCAGCTCCAGACAATGGGGCTCTGCTGACCCTCCCAAGAGCAGGCTGTGATGAGAGATGCTTCCAGCACTGGGATAAACTGTGCTAGAGTTGCCAAGGGCTGGTATGAAAGCTGGTATGAAAACATATTTCACATGTTTTAGTGAACTGAGCCTCCTGACATCCTTGAGAGCCAGACAAGCTGGATTCTCATCTTGAAAAGGGGAAAGCACAGACAGTTTAACTTGCAATTTGAAAAGAAACCATCTGAACGTGGCCACAGCTTTCACCCTCTCTGCTCCCACCAGATTCCCACAAATCCCACGGAGTGGAAATGACTTTTAGTTCAGCAGAGGCCTGAGGAACAGGGGAGTGTTTTGTTCGAGTTTGGATATTGTCAGTACGCACAAAGTAAGGGCAAAATGATCTCTGCTCTCCTTTGCATCTGTGGCTCTGATAGCAAAGGAGTCAAACAGGTCAAGGGGAGATGTTCTGGGGTGTAGAACCTGCAGGAAAGGTGCAGCAGAGCACAGCTGGAGCACACTGACCTCTGTGGCCAGTGGAATGTACAGGAGACACATCAGTGCCCCGTACACATGGATCCTGTGGTCCAGATAACCAAACATTTTCAGTGAGAATGAGGGAATTTTGGGGCAAGTCTAAATCTCAAAGATATGTCTGAATCCAGGCCTTTGCTGCTCTGGGTCATGTCCTTCAGACACACAGGTTCTTCACCCCGCTGGCTGTGGGGAGTGAGGGGATGTTCCTCAGAAAGGGTAAACCATTTCAAGTGGCTTGTCCAAGATTCATGTCTGAGGGATTACAACCTGATGACTCTTGACTATTCCCTGCTCCCACTGCAATGCTGATCCCAGGGACCAGTTGTAGCTACAGCTATTTCTGTCAGGATATGACTCTGAGGAGGAGAGTGGAAATATCAGCAAGGGAAAGAATGTGTGTGTCTGTCCCAGGCTGGCTGGTGGGGCAGCTCTTCAGGAAGTGGACTCAGGGCAGATCTCTAGTGTGCATTTCACTGTCTTTAATCAGCCAGCTGATTAAAGGTGGTAAGCAGGAGGTGTGATCCTTTAAAAGGGGTGTTTGCCCGGAGGCCTCCAGGGAGCTTTTTGTTTCGGACGTTGATTTTCAAGCAGGAACTTCTGGAAATCCTTTTCCTGCAATTGCACAGTATTTTTGTTACTAATGGAGGTGTGAGCTGCTAAGCGCACAGAAGATGGTTTTTGGGAAGTGGGTGCCTCCTTCTTGGAGATGGCACGTCCATGACTCACTTGATGCAGCAGGTGCCTTTTAGTGTAGGTTACCCACTCCTTCAGGTGGTCTATAACGATGGGGATGAGGCTCACCACACCTCCATAAGTATTTCTTGCTTCTTCAAAGCTCAGGTAATTCACAACACCGTGGGGGTATCTGTGGGACAGAAGGAAACAATTGGCAGAGGAACCCTGGGAGCCCACAGATCCCCCCACCCTGAGATCCCCCTGGGAAGAGCAGGATTGCACAGCCAGCCACTTCCCAAAACCAGAAAGGCATGGATGGAATTACATGTTGAAGAATGAGTCCTGCCAAACACACCACCCTGGCTGCTGGGATGGACCTGGAAGAGTTTGAGAGAATGGACAGACACTTCCCCCACAGAAGCGAGCCCGGAGGATGAGGAGGAGGGGATCTGCCTGGGGTTACAAAGGTTAATGCATCTGAGTAACCAGGACAGGGACCAGGCCTATGGGAACAACTTGCAAGGTGGTGACCCCGCAGTGCATGGGACTTCAGGGCCTGTAAATGCCCTGCCCATGCACCAGTAAAAATGATAAATAAACACACCCAACCCCCTTTCTGTGAATGGAGGCTGGCAATGGTTTCCCAACAGCAACCTGGGCAGCACCTTCTGCCCTCACTAAAGCCGGGGAGGTGTTGTGAGAGAACTGGTGGGGAAGTCCAGTGGGAATGCGCAGTGTCAGTCTGCCAGCATCAAGAGTGGACTCCCAGAGGCTGAGCTGGAGGAAACACCTACGTGGCCCTGATGGCACTGAGGTCGTTGCTGTCGTTCAGGAGCACTTTGCACCTCTCCAAAAGGCCGTTGGTCACGTGGTCCCCGGGGTGCACCGTTTCCAGCTTCTGGCAGAGGTTGCGGAGGTCGTTGCAGATGGAGATGAACATGTTGAGGATGCGCCTGTCGGTGGCACTGATGCAGTGGTGGTCCTTGTAGACCTGCACCTGTCCATGGAGGGAAACAGAGGTAAGTCAGGTGTTCAATTGCATCGAACTTGTGCTGCCAAGTTGCTCGGGTCGGTGGTGAGGAGCTGCTTTGGCGGCTCTGCAGGTGTGAGGTGCTTGTCATTCCTGGTGGCTGAGGAAGGCTGGGGTGAGGGAGCTGTCTGTGAGTCTTCCTCACTCCTGGAAGGAGTGTAGGAGCACCACAGCCAAACCCAGCACCAAAGGAACAGGCTGAGTGTGAGTGGGATCTGTCTGCTCCCTCTGCGTGGGCAGAGCAGGGTGGGAAGTGAGGGCAGCGACCGAACTGGTTGCGGTTTGGGGTGATGTGTTTGCATCATTCATTCCTCGTGGTTCTCTCTGTGGCACCATGAACTGCAAACCCAACCCATGTAACCTAAACCACCCTTGCCAGCCTGTCAGAGCAATGCTATTCCCTGCTTGCCTCGTGTCACAGTGAGGGGCATGGCATGAGGAAATGTTATGCCAAGGGATTAAGTATCTTCTCCAGAGAAATTCCAGGCACTTCAGAATGTAAAATTGTGAGTGGCTGGTTGGCAGCCAGAGCTGGACTCCAGCACCTCCAATGCTTTCTGTAAGGTTACAAGAAGGGAATAGCTGTTCCATCATGGGTACAGACGCTGCATGCAGAAAAGCCATGGATTGTGCTTGGCCAAATTATCAGCAGATTTGTAAGAAAAATAAAAAAAATGGCTCCTGAGGGTTCCATTTCCACTACAGATTCCTCCTCCCACACTGTTTGCTGAGTGTTGTGTCCTTGTGAGTGGCAGGATCTTTTACTGCTGCTGTGAGCAGAAATAATCCTAATGAGAGTATCATTTTAGCCTGGATGTTCACAGATGGGATAAGAGAGGAATTGTTGTTGGCTACATCAGCAACAGGGAGTTAATGCACAGGACAGGGACAGCACTACAGCAACCACTTGCAAGGTCCTGACCACAGCCAGGCTCTGCAGGCAGGGACTCCCTGAGGGGTGTGAGGCTCTGGCTGAAGCAATGACTGAGGAGCTGGTCCCACGAAACCACTCGGGGTTTGACTTTGTGCCCTAACCCATGTAGAAATCTTCAAGAAGCTGTTGCTATCTGTGTGACTGTGATGTGCCCTTCCACCTTTCCACCTTCCTGTGATCTCCTCTTTTCTCTAAGGAATCTCATCACACTAAAAACACTGCCACAAAAAAGCTTGAGGGGGTGGAAATGTAGCCGTGTTCACGTAGAATCTCATTTTTTCTGTAGTTTCCAAGTCAGCTGTAGGCTGAGACCACACATATTTCTGTGCTTGTTGCTTTTATTCTCGTGCCCTCCCATGACAAATTAAAACCAGGGAGAATGGCAGTGGGTAAAATGGGTGCCTGCTTTTGCCACTAGGGTTTTTTGGTAGCGCTTCAGCTCCTGCTCAAATACATGCTGCACCAACTGCTCCCTGTTTTTCCTGGCAATTTGCCCTTTTCCCTTTCCCATCCTCCCCCTGGGATGAGGTGGTTGGACCCCCAGGGCTGCAGTTCCCACCTTGCTGTGTCACAGAGGACGCTGTGGATCCCTGCAATTCTGAGGTCACACCCAGAGGTTTCACCCCCCCACCACAGGCAGCCCTTCCACCTCTGCCAAGAAGTGGAGTCCAGGCTTGCTCAGTGCCACTGGAATATTGGCACTTTTATAATGTTATACATCTCAGGGCCTGTTTTTTTTTGGGGGGAAAAATGGTTCAGTGCAATGTCTGCCCCAATCCCCTTCAATACAATGAGCAAAGCCCTTATATTAGAGAGAGTCAGCCCTTAGAAAACACAACCAGCTCCTTCTGTGCCCTAATCCTAATAACAGCCTGGCCTTCACTCTGCCTGTGGCATCCACCTGGGTTTTGTGCCTGGGTTCTGCTGCCTCAAATCCACAATTCTTATTTTATTCAGATTTTTTTTTTCTTCTCCCCCACTCCTCCTCCTCCTCTGTCTCCAGGTGGTCTAAGCTCTACTTAAAACATCCCACGTTATAAAAATTCCAAGACAATTCACTTACCAGCCCAGAAAACCCCGTGCCCACTTGGGACTCTCAGCCCTCAATCCATCATCCTCCCTCTGTAGCACAGCCATTATTTTTAATAAGCACTATAGAAAGATACAGCAGCACCAATACCAGGGGGAAGAGCCAGGCCTGCTGGTTCCTCCAAGTTAAGGATTACAGATTCCACGAGTGGCTAGGGAAGGAGGGTTGGTTTGATTGTTTTCTTGTGCCCTGTATCTCTGGCTGTGCCTCAGCAGCAAAATGACAGCGTTAAACTAAACCAGTTTAATTTAGTGTTAAACCAATCAGAAATGCTCAGGAATGA